AAGTCCTTCTTACGTAAAAGTACATACAGTAGGTCATCAAAATATACGCACAATAAGTACCAAAAGTACTTATTGTGCGTATTATTCCATTTTATAATCATATTCAATTACTGGATTTTTACCATAATTAATTACCATATCTACTGCAGCTGGATATCTTAACCTATAATTATATATCATAGTTAATTCATTAGTTATTTCATATTTGGTTTTAGCTAATAATCTGAATCTGAATCTCACGTGATAGGCTAAGGGGCGGGACATCTCTAATCGGTTGACTAATCACAACAGAGCCGTCCAGCAAACCAATCAGAGCAGACTGGGCTCTGGTTTCAGACAGAGGGTGAAAAGAGGTGCTGCAGCACAGGCAGTATGAGAAAAATAAATCAAAAGTAAAATAAATGGAGTTAAAACGACAATATTGGCTTCCAAATTGTAGTGGAGTAGAAGTATAAAGTAGCAGGAAATGAAAATACTCAAGTACCCCGGAAACGTACTTAAGTATGATAATTGATTAAATGTACTTCCCGACATCCCACAACTGCATTGAGGAAGCCCAGTATTTGCCACAGGGAAATATTTGGGCAGTGTCCATTACCGAAGCTTTTATAAAAGTTGTGTAACAAGCCAAGAAAGTTCGAGTGTGCCGCATTGTGTGGATAGCAACCAGGGAGAGCTGGAACAGGCAAAGCTCTGGACAAACAAAAGCCTGTGTCACTACTTTAATAGTGAGCCGAGGGTAAACACATTTCATAATCAAATGCGCACTACAGCCCAACCTACGCAGACACTGACTCATTTTTCACTGTTGGTTTCTGGCTGCGATGATCCTGCAGAAATGGAGAAAGTGATCGCTCATTAGTTTCTTTTCGTTCCTGTCTTACTCTTTTATCTGTCTGTGGTTGTCCTCCCCCCTCCTCCCTCCTCCCTCCTTCCTCTCTCTGTGTCTTTCTCTCTGCAGCGGTACAATGTCTGCAGCCTCCCTCCTGCGTCACTTCCCTTCCTGGTCGGCTGTCATGTAAACACTCTCAGAGAAAAACACACACCACAGTCACATGGGAGCTGCTTATTATGACCACATTAACCCAGCGGAAATACAACTTTCACAGCTGGTTGTCTTGAGCTCACATTAAGGCAGATAATTCACCGACAGGAAGAAAATAAATGCATCGCTTACTTCAATTATTCAGCAAACGCAGACCAGAAAATAATGGGCGTAATACCTTAGGACAGCCTTCGATGCTGGAGATTGAAATAATAAAACATTTCTGTAGCAGTGCTGTTACATCGTCATTTTAATTGTACGTTCTTATTATTGTACTATATGATTTTTTTTAATTATTATTTTAATATTTGTCTAATTCTTGTTCAAAAAGTATTTTCTTTTCCTTGTACAGATTTTATTTTATTTTCTGTTTTTGTTCAAAATGTTTATGAATATTTATGTATAGATATCATAATTTAACAAAGCTTAGGTAATACTGTGTGTCATGATGGTCATGCCAATAAAGCTTTTTTAATTGAATTGAGAATACAGGTCTAGCTGCATAAATTGGGAAGATAATGAACACACACTTTTATGCTCAAATGAAACACATCTATTTGATGAGAGGAGGTGAGCACAAACATCTGACGGACTCACGAGCAGCCTGTGACGCAGATGGGAAGGTCTTCAACACACACACACACACACACACACACACACACACACACACACACACACACACACACACACACACACACACACACACACACACACACACACACACACACACACACACACCACACACACACACACACACACACACACACACCACACACACACACCACACACACACACACACACACACACACACACACACACACACACACACACACACACACACACACACACACACACACACACACACACACACACACACACACACACACACACAACACACACACACACACACACACACACACACACACACACACACAACACACACACACACACACACACACACACACACACACACACACACACACACACACACACACACACACACACACACACACACACACACACACACACACACACCAGCCATTTCAAGCATGTCACTAATCTGAGGTCCAGGCTCATTGGTGGAATGCCTCGCACATAGGTTTGCCAAATAGTGCTCCTTAGAGGCGGAAACGACAGCTTTAGAGCTCTGAAAGTTCACTTCAAGAGGCGGATGGATTTGTTCTCGGCTAATAAGGCCAAACACAGCAGGATTATTGCTGGGTAATGCTGCAGGTTTATTGCAAATGTCCTTATAATGTAAGGGCTGGAGGACCGCAAAGCTCATGTTGTACTTGCCACAGTGCAAGGATGTTGATTTGTTTACCAGGGAATGAAAGCTAATTCAGAGAAAGCACATTTGGTAAGATTGCCACACCAAAAGAAAAAGACAGATGTGGTGAGGTTTCAATTCACAGGTGACGCAAAGTGTCTACTGAAACAGGAACCAGGTTCCAACACAGTGTTATTATCAGTTCCCTGAACTCCATTTCGTTTTGTTGAAGTTTATACTGAGAAAACGCCCCGGTTTTAGAGTCTAATTCTTAGAAACACTGGCTTGTTATTGTCAATTAATCCCTAGTGAGTCATTGTTGGGCTGTTACATAATGTTTGTTCCCGATCCTAAAGCCCATACCACATATTGCACCACTTTTCCTCGATTACTATGGAAGCAGCTGTGTACTACTGTGTTTATAAAATGATAGCAAGTAAGTCAATATCCAATGAGTTCTTAACTAAATCTTTTCATTCTGTTTCCATCCAACAAGAAATGATTATTGTGATGAATGAATATTTTGATTAATTTACAATAAGGGAACAATATTTTATTATGTAAACAAGAGATGATATGACTGATATGTGACAAACCCATAGGAAATTCAAACCCATCTCCGCAGTTCCTCTTAGTTTTTAGCTTCTTTTAACTCCTTCTCTTAGCTGTTTTGCAAAGTCACTGTTTTGAATCACTTCTCTCAATAACCTTGATTTAGCAGAAACAAAATTCTCTAAAATCCCATTGTCCAACAAGACAGACACTGTGGGGAACGTAGTGAAACTTTTAGCTGCAAAGAGACCAAAACAGAGCAAAATGAGAGCTAAAATTGGACTTACATTAATCAGGTTGCCCAAATATGACTTCAAATGTTCCCCTTTATGCGTAAATAATGATATAAGCTTGAGCTATTTAGTTGAATTAGTGAAAATGTATTGATGATCAAATTGTCAGTTAATTTAAAGCCGATCGACGTAGTGATTAATTAGCAAACCTAATTGGTACTTCAGTGGTTCGTTAAGGAATGGTAAGTGTTATTGTCTATGGTTGGGATATTGAAATGTTACTGCCACTGCATCTGCGTCATACTGCCTGAAGATATGCTGAGGAAGGTCAATACGATTATATGATGTTTTGATAGATGTTTGGGATTCAAGAGTGCGACAGAAGCAAAGCCAGTACTGATTTGCGTAACGTTTGATGTTGATTCAAGGCTGCAATATGTCAATCAGGCTGAGAATGACAATCAAAATAGTTTCCTCTTATCGTCGTGTAACTTCACCAGATGCTGAGTCAGATGTCTGCCATCCTTTTTACATCAACCGATGCTTCCTCCAGTCTGAGAGTCGGCATATCCGGAAGAGCCACTTACAATTTACTGCATTTAGAAAGGGAGCTTCCTGCAGCAGGAGACTGGATCTGTGGCCAGAATTACACTGTTTGAACTCTGTGTCATAGCCTCGAAACACACAGATGTTTGTGTGTGTGTGTGTGTGTGTGTGTGTGTGTGTGTGTGTGTGTGTGTGTGTGTGTGTGTGTGTGTGTGTGTGTGTGTGTGTGTGTGTGTGTGTGTGTGTGTGTGTGTGTGTGTGTGTGTGTGTGTTTGCGCAATAGCAGCAGCAGCAGGGAGGCAGTATTCTTGTTTTCCTCCCTGGCAAATTGGTGCTGCGTTTCCAAACATCACGCAGCAGGAAAATGAGCTGGCTTTTAAGCAAATAAGTGACGCGTAAAAGCTATGACGTTCGCAGCCATATTGACATTTAACACGCAGTTTAATCAGACTTTGCAGCATGACAAATAACATTAAAATGATGGGGTACCTCGTTTTAGCAGAGGTGGTATACACTACTCAAGTACTGTACTTAAGTAGATACTTGTACTTTACTTGAGTATTTCCATTGTATACTACTTTGTACTTCTACTCCACTACAATTCAGAGGTAAATTGTGTACTTGTACTACAAGTCATTCAAACTAGCTGCACCTTTACCAGCTTTGAGAACACTTTAATGATCAATCATTATACAACATATCATATATATTATTCTCAAATGGACCAATCTGCGCAATGAATACTTTTACTTTTGGTAAGCATATTTTGATTCTAATACTTTTTATATTTCAGTAACATTTTGAGTGCAGGATTTTTACTTGTAACATAGTATTCCTACAATCTGGTGCTTCTACTTCACTCAAGTACAATATCTGAGTACTTCTCCTACCACTGCGTATTACCTCTGTGTAACTACGTCTCTCACATATCCAACTGCGATACGCCTCCAACTTGCTGTAAGCGTCACATAAAGCATCAACAACAAAGAGGCGGTATGTTTCCAGTCAAGCCCGGAGCGCCTGTACACCGAACATCGACACAATGTTGTTCTCCATGCTCCACAGCTAAGGCCTTTATTCCTCACTTGTTTACTCCAACTTCAATTTCTATGTGCGCAACACCACCTGGAATGCGGACACTGCGTGGCGAACTAGAAAAACGCACATGGCACAAGATCAAGAATCCTATAGGCTACCTTCAGGAAAACAAATAGTCCTCTCTCAAACAAACACACTTTGACCAGAAATAAAGCAGACTAACGCAACACAAGTGCGCAACAAACGCACCTGCGCCATGGAAGCAACGCAGAACCGATCCCAGATCAGCTGAGATGTTTGAAATAACTTCACTTACACGTAAAAGGTGATCATCTTTTGCTCCGGGATGAAATATGCCACTCACAGCAGGCGACATTTTCCTCCTGTTTTAAAGTGCGTGTCATCTGGCAGGTGCAACTGCGAATAGAGACGTCCCGGTGCAGTGAGTCCTGTTCGGGCTGTCTCGGTTAGGCTCGGTTCTGCTCGGCTCCACTGCCAATGACTGCGTATACTTCCCCTTCTGCTCCATCAGCCAGCAGCTCCACTGTGTTCCTGCCTTTTCATTATCTCATGTCCATGTGACACAGCCTCTGTCAGTGGAAACTTAAAGGGACCTCCCACGTGATGGTGCGCGTTCACGCCGGGCACACGTCCCCTTAGAAATAAGATGTTACGCCTTTAATAAAAGTCAACCTTCAGACCGCTGCTACCCTGTTCTTACCGGAACCTTAATGACGAAGAGGAGGATGATGCCCTTACTGTTGAAAATGAAGATGACGATGTTTACAGCCATGAGGAGGATGTGGATAAATGAAATACATGTTAGTGCTGTGATGACAGTGGTGAACAGAAACTAAATAAATGAAACCAAGTACAGTAGGTTATTTAAACACATTTATATTCAGATTCACATTAATAATACAACATATAGTCAACAAATAATATATCACGAAGGCTTATTATTATAGGTTAAGATCAGAGGTGGGAGAAGTACTCAGATCTTGTACTTGAGTAAAAGTAGAAGTACTCAGATCTTGTACTTGAGTAAAAGTAGAAGTATCAGAGTGTAGGAATACTCTGTTACAGTAAAAGTCCAAATGTTCCTCAAGTAAAAGTACAAAAGTATTGGCATCAAAATATAGTTAAAGTAGCGACAGTAAAAGTAGTCATTGGATTGGTCCATTTCAGAATAATATATGATATGTTTTTATAATGATTGATCATTAAAGTGTTCTCAAAGCTGGTAAAGGTGCAGCTAGTTTGAATGACTTTGTATACTGCAGGGTAGCTTGTGGATTTACTCCAGGTGGAACTACAGTCTGATTTAACACTTGATTAGATTTCACATCATTCATCCACATCTGTGAAGTAACTAAAGGTATTAAATACATGTAGTGGAGTAAAAGTACACCATTTACCTCTGAATTGTAGTGGAGTAGAAGTACAAAGTAGCATAAAATGGAAATACTCAAGTTAACTACAATCTACGAAGATGATGAAGATGTTAGGTGCAGGTGTTGATGAAAGGGATGAAGATGATTAAGCTTCTTTATTGTCGTTTCCTTTCTTTTGAAATGAGATCATGCTGTGTGTGACATCATAGGCTGACTAACACTGTGGGGAAACACAGCTGATCTCATATCAGAGAAGGACTGACGGACAAAGACAAAATCCTCCTTAAAACCTACGCAGATCCTATACATCCTATAATATAATAATGGGTTCAAAATGTTAATTAAGTAAAAGCACAGAAGTATTATTTTTTGAAAGTGTTGTCAATGTATAGCACATGTTGTATGCTACATTAGTTAATGCGGCTTAAATAAGGATAATACTGTCAATATTTATTGCTGCACTTTGTTACTTGTCTTCTTTAATTAAGGTGCCATTTGAGTTGTCCGTGATGATCATCTCTCTTGTTTACAATCACATGTTTTTCTTAAAAAGGTGACCTTTGTGTGCACGAGGACTCATCACAGTTCATTCAAAAACATTACTCAATACTAAAAGCCCTGTGAGAAAACAAATTACTTAAGTGTTATTGAGAGGTTCAGTTCTACAAAAACAATCACAACAGTTCAATCGAATTCAAATCTGATATGCACAACAAAAACATGTTCAGATTTACATTATCGGACATAGCCAGTGTGTAACTCTGATGATAAAACCATTCTCGTATTCTCAGTGTCTGGGTTTACATCCTCACTAATGAAACTTGACGAGCGCCGTTCAATTTGCAGTAAGTGAAAGCAGGACTGTGCCAATGCTGGGCGTTCACTCCAAGAAAAACACCATTATCATTCAATCCACGTCAGCAAGAAGAGGTCCACCCGCAGATGATTCATCAGATATTATATAAATAACACATTTTTAAAAACCAGGGAGGGTCAGGCTGTAACTGTGTTTTTTTCCACTTCCTCCAGGTGTCTTCACTGCTCTGTTTTAACAAGCAATGTCATGTATTGTTAATGTGATGACATCAAGTTTTTTTTAATCCTGTGGCTTCTAGAAATAAATTATGTTATTGTGTTGATATTAGCAAGATTCCTAACCTAAAAAGTGGGTATTTTATATTGTTTTTGTCATTACTGATCATTTTATCCTGTATTAATGTATTTGTTTTCTTGCTGTCAGTTTTCCAGCACCTGCAGCAAGTTAAAATGAATAAGTAAATTATAATACAGATTATAATAAGGCAGAGTGGTTAAGATATTGTAAATATGAATCTTGAAAGCTTGTTACTATTGGTCTATATATGCATTAACATTTTGTATTGGACTTAGGGCATCTGATACATAATCAAATAAGGGAGAATTTAAGCAGAGGATGAAGTGAGTATTGTTCGACTCTATAATACATTTCGGTAAAAGAGGTCCTTTTAACTGGAATAAAGCTACGTTCACATTACTCATCGGATGATTCATCCACCCTGTGAATTGTCGTGAAAAACAGAGATCACACAGAGAGGTGATTCTGAAAAACAGACTCTCAGGTCAATGTTCTGTACAATACAAAACAGGGCTTTATATGATAAACAACAGGACAAAAAAACAAGGAAATTCAGCCTCGGGAGGGCAGGATATAGGACAAAGGAAATTAAAAATGTCACACAATTAAAGTATAGTGCATGGGGGTCATGTTTGAAGACACAAAAAGGCCAAAAATAAAACAAAAGAGCCCAGCATACACATTGTTACCAACATCAACATGAGTAACAATGATTAAGTGAGAAAACAGTAGTGTACCCCTTTCACAGACGATGCAAAAATGTACAACTAAGTATGTGTGTTGGATAAACAAATAGTAGTTGTTAAGATGTATAGAGAAGCACTATTTGTGTTATATTTCAGTAACTTTTTGCATGCTTTTGAGACCAAGTTGTCATTTGTCAAAGTTAGATGTGAAGACTTAATCTTAAGCACCGAAGACTTCCTTAATTATATCCCAATGTATTAGGGATAAGGAGTACCTAATAGTAAGATCAGCGTATATTTTTTCGGTAATCATGCCGTTAAACTATGGTTTTTGAAAACATATGATATATTATGGTGCTTATGAAACATTCGGCTTAGTAACGGCATCATATTGCATACTCAATTGCATGCAAAACCAAACAGGGTGATAGTTTGATTGCAGATGTTTTTGTTTTTTTGTACAGTTCATTATATATTTAGGGAAAATTCATGTTTATAAAAAAAAATGGGCTGACTCCAAACCTAATTATGAACATTTTTTACCAATAATTACATATAAAGGCTATCAAAAGTAATTGTGTATTTTTCCTATACAATATATATGATATTCATATATGTTCTTGAATAAATAAAGGTGAAAAAACAACAACAACAACAACAACATAAAACAGGGTGTACTGTCTCTTTAAGAGCTGTCAGTGCCCGCTTCTTGCCTCGCGCTGTCTGCTTGTTATTTTCTGCAACAAGATGGCTGTGGTTCCAGAGAGCAGAGTCCTCACTTTTGGCGTTTTTAAATGGAGCTCTTACTCCTCTACATATTTACCAGAGTGAGTAATACACAGGCTAGTTGGCCCCGGCGTATGCACATCATTTTGTGGTCAAAAGTGGTATTTTTATCGCTTCAATGCACCATTGTTTGTTCCAGCAGGGCCCGACCGGCCTAGCTCGTCTGCCGTCTGAGCTAACTAGCATTAGCATTTTTAGCATCAGTAGGGGCGTTTAGTATTGATAATCTACCGCCAGTTTGTTGTAAACAGTAGATTATAATGGGTTGAATGTTCACTTTAGCTCTGTTTGAATTCATAGGTATTCATCACTGTCAATTACATCATTCAATTAATAGGAGTTTGTCTCTTTTGAACTGCCAGGGTGCTTTGTTTACGTACATTTTCTCGATTATAGCTTGTTTTGGAGCCTTTCTTGCCACTTATTCAGCAGTTTCTTCACAGCTTCAAACAAAAAAGCTAAGCTAACATTAGGTACTTGTCTAAACACTCCCCTTTTTTAAAGTTTGGTTAAGCTATGTTCAGTCCGGCGCCCTAGTATGTCAAAAACGAGCGTCCACGTTAGCTCATGAGCTAGCAGTTCGCATCAACTAGCTATCTAAACAAATGTAGCTTTGCTTTATTATCAACAGCTAATGACTTTGTTTACCGGCTAAAGGCACATTGTGTTATAAATTGAAAGGTCACATTTTAAAGATGATATTAACAGATCAAAATGTTAACATGCATATGTGATGTCCCGCATAGTTTCACATCATGTGCCTGTTGCTGGTTCAGCATGTCAATATGGGACCAATCAGACATGTGTCAGGGATTACTGGAAGTTAAACAAAACACTCTTATTAGATACTGAATTTAAAATGAAAATGTGTATGTGTATGTTACTGGTTCAGCACTCAATCAGATACAGGCTAGCTTTAGCTGATGTTAATTTGATCTAGATAGATAGATAGACAGACAGATGGATACTTTATTGATACCAAATTGGGAAATTATTTTGTTACAACAGCAGTGCATTAAAGTATTTAAAAGATGAAATAAAGTATAAACATAATACAATATGAAATAAACTGCAAATATAAAGATATCCACAGTAGAAAAGACACAAAGAAAACACAATATAACGTATTCTGGACAATTAAAATGTTGTATAATAGACCAAAGTACTGCAGCAATGTAAATATAGAGTTGTACTACAAGAGCAGAGACGTATGATGGTATATAAATCACAGATGTGCAAGGTGGCTGTTGTTCATGGTTATGGAGAGGGAGAAACTAAAACTATGGAGCAGCTAGTTAACATCAACGGTCTGCTAGCTTATACTGACGTTATATCAGACCTGCATAAGTAGTATTTATATCACTTCCTTTATAGTTACTGCAAGTCAATACAAACACACATGCATCCTCCCATTCTGCCCTGTAATGAAATGTGATTCCTGGATCATAACTGTGACATGAATTAAAACGTTTTCTCTTTGGTTGTTTCTTAGGAATATCTTGGTGGACAAACCTAATGATCAGTCTTCCAGGTGGTCGTCTGAGAGCAACTACCCTCCACAGGTAGGTCGTCTGCTATTTACATGAACTCTCTCTTATTCAATTGACCCCTCTCTGCCAGGTGAAGCTAGACGTGTGGATTTACAGTGTGCATTAAGAACACATTGTCAAATCTAGGGAGCCATGTTTGTTTATATTGTAGGTGGTTGATATATTATCAGTATCAGTTTCTTAAGAAGCTCAGGTCTGGTCAAGTTGGCCCCTAGTTGACCTATGACTTTTTTTAGGAAATGTGTTTGATTTAAGTTGACATGGGCTGCTAACTCAATTCAAACTGTATGACAACAAAGATCAGAGCTGATGCTGTATATTCAAAGTGATCTTATAAGTGTGAGTATAAGATAAAAACAGCACTGTATGTGACACTAGACTTGATGATGCAAGAGGAACAGCAATTTTAAGACATCAAATTAGTTATCGCTATGTCGTTTTCTGATAATTGGCACAATAATGGCATAATCAATTAGTGTGCCTGTGGAACCGTAATTTAAATTGTGTAATTAAATACTTTTTTTTGAGGAAACAAAGTGTTTAGTAACATGTTTTATGATGTAATTGATGAGTTGCTCATTAGTACGCAAGTTTGTCTGCATTCTTCATACAACAAAAAAGTAGTTTTACCATAACGTCTCTTGAACTCTTCAGTAGTGTTGTGTCTGGCAGAGTTTGAGGTTAAATCTGAAGGTTGTCTTGTATTGCAAAAGGAAATGAAGCCTTTTTGTTACCCAGTTAAAAGGATCTGTACATATTTTGTTACAGACAAAGGGAGTTTTAATGTGAGATCAGGCTCTACCATCACATGTTGAATCGTGACAAACTGGGCCTAAAGAACCAGATCAAAGCCTGGCAGGGGAATTTCTAATGATTGGTGTACAGTGAAATTCATGTGAAAGGACTCATGAATGAAACCAGTGTTTATTAAAGTGACTCAGGCTCAGCAGGAATTTAGTGGATAGAATATCTATGTCTTTAATGAGAGAATGTGAAAACATGTGCTTTGTTATGGCGCGTTTCCACTACACGGCCTCGCTCGGCCCCGCTCGGTATGGCTGGGCCGCGATTGGCCTCGTTAGGACCAGCTCACTTTAAATGCCTGCTACCAGTGACCGTTTATCAATGGTCTCTCCTTTCGTTCTGGTCTAATTGCCACTGTTGATTTATCACTGGATGTCCTGGCTTGTTAGAGCACCGCTGACATGTGGATTCGCCTCATAGACTGCATATGATTTCCCACTTACCTGACGCAGTAGATTGACCCTGCTGTAGTCGGATGATGAGCAAATCCCTGCAGCTCTTCACACACTCACAGCATCACAAACCTGCTCTTTACCTTACCGTTTATTTCATATCTTCTCCCTCCTTTCTCTCTCTTCTCCTGCAGTTTTTAATCCTGAAATTGGAAAGGCCGGCAATTGTTCAGAGCATCACTTTTGGAAAATATGAGAAGACTCACGTGTGCAACTTGAAGAAGTTTAAAGTGTTTGGTGGGATGAGTGAAGAAAACATGACAGAGCTTTTGTCCAGGTGAGGTGTCAATGCTTGCGTAAGTACAACTGTGTTTGTGTGTCATTGTTACACAGAATTTAAGCTGCTTCGGTGTGAAAATTACACAGCCATTTGTACCTTTTTGTGAGAGGAAGTGGAGTAGTTTGAAACGTATTGATGTAATAGACAACCTAAGCAGTAATACATCTGCAAGGAAGTTGAATCATTGCTGTCTAGTTGTAATGTATTGACCTTGTCTAATAGCATATCTGAAACCACCGGATTGTTATCAGCACCACTATTGACCTTTTTATAGCCATTTTCCATTGCAGGAACTTAATGACATGATGACCGATTAAGCATTGCTTCTGCTTTGAATTGTCCTACTAATATTCAAACTGGAACATTTGTATATACGTGACTGGAAAGACGTCACCATCAGCCTTCTGTATACGCTGTTTGATAGCGGAGTAGAGTTCAGATGTGGGATGGACAACAATGGGGGGAAAAAGGCTAATATTGATTCTCTCGCATTAGCCTGGAATGACTTTTTAAATATTGGTTTATGAAACATAATGGACGGGCCGCACCTGCTGTAGATGGACCGGAGAGAAGAGTAAAGACTGCAGTTTGTATGTTCTGGAAATACTTTAAGCAATCCAAAATGTACTGTAATACTTTTATCAACGTACTTGTGATTACAGGATCACACATTCCTGGAAGAGCTGTTTTGTAGGAAAGCAGAAATGCATTTAGAAATGACTAAGCTATTCTTTGTTTATCTGATTTGTAAGTACATGTTGCTGCTAAATGCTGCTTTCAAATGCATCTACCAGCCCTGTTTATACCTGATAGTTAAGACATATATTAGATTGCTATAAAATACGGCATAGCATCCCAGTAAAAAGCTGCATGTTTCGATTATTTTATTCTTTCTCTTCCAGTGGCCTTAAGAATGACTACAATAAGGAAACGTTCACCTTAAAGCACAAGATTGACGAGCAGATGTTTCCCTGCAGATTTGTCAAAATAGGTGAGAGCAGATGTGGTTCTTTCTATTGGTCTTATACATGGTGAATATGTCTCTCTTTTGACACTTCTTCTTCTCTTGCTCACAGTGCCTCTGATGTCTTGGGGTCCCAGTTTTAATTTCAGCATCTGGTACATTGAGCTGCACGGTATTGAAGATCCTGACGTGGTGCAGCCCTGCCTTAACTGGTACAGCAAGGTGAGAAAACGACGATAGCCTCGAGGTTAGAGACGTGAGAAGTGGATTAAAGATTCAGCAGGCGGGATTCTGTAATTGGATGAATTAATCAGGTGGCAAGAGAAACAAAGTTAATAAGAAAAACTACCTCCGAGCTCTCCCTGAACAACACAAATGTCCTTGAGCAGGATTACAAAGGATGCAATACAGAGGTGGGAAGTAGTGGAGTACAAATACTTCGTTACTGTACTTAAGTACATTTTCTGGTATCAGTACTTTACTCCACTACTTATTTTTCTGATGACTTTTTACTTTTACTTCTTACATTTTGAACACAAATACCTGTACTTTCTACTTCTTACATGTTGAACACAAATACCTGTACTTTCTACTTCTTACATGTTGAACACAAATACCTGTACTTTCTACTTCTTACATTTTGAACTACTTGTCCTACTTCTTACATTTTGAACACAAATACCTGTACTTTCTACTTCTTACATGTTGAACCCAAATACCTGTACTTTCTACTTCTTACATTTTGAACACAAATACCTGTACTTTCTACTTCTTATATGTTGAACACAAATACCTGTACTTTCTACTTCTTACATTTTGAACACAAATACCTGTACTTTCTACTTCTCACATTTCCCAAACAGGCTGGTTCCTTTAGTTTGAATGTGTGTTTGGTGGCGTGATCATTATTATTTAGAGTCATTGCGTGCCTATTGATTTGAAGCCCGATCCGTGTATCCATCATTTCCTGGTCTTCTCTAAAGAAGAGGGACCAATGAAAACGTTGTCATGTTGCCGTTGTTCAGCATGGAAACATTCATTAGCTAACAATGACATTATTGTTCTATTAATATAAAGGGAGGTCAGGTACTCTTTAAAACAGCTGCTAGTTATGGGTACTTTTTAGTTAAAGGTCCCATGTCATGGCCATTTCTACTGATCATATTTCCATTGTTGAGGTCTACTAAAATAGATTTAAATTGTGCAATTTTCCAAACTCACATTGGTTCCTCATACAGCATCTCTGTATAGTATTGGCGCGTTTCCACTACACGGCCTCGCTCGGCCCCGCTCGGTATGGCTGGGCCTCGTTAGGACTGGCTCACTTTATGGCGCATTTCCATTACAGTTTAGGAACTGGGGCAGTATCTATAGTAACGCAGTGTAGGCGGAGCCGTGACGTGATCTTCAGAGGACCCCAGAAAAACAACACAGCCGTTAGCTGTTAGCACTCAGAGCTCACAGCTCCTCATATCTGTTCAGAAACTAGACAAAAGTTAAACAAGTACAAACCACAGACTGCCTGTGTCATGGTGAATACAGTCGCTGCTTTATTTATGTCTGTATAGGCCGTTGTTGTGAGTGTGGACGGTCGGAGCATATACTGCGTTAGCTTAGCCAATCTCCATTTAGAAAACAAGCATTTTAAAAGGTTTTTCGCCTGCCGTCTGTCTGCAGACTTGACAAAGCATTAATTCATGGTTTTTACTAACCGGTATCAGTATGTTGTTACTTCGGCATCATATTGAAACGTGTATTACAATTAAATCACGGTCAAATATGTCCATCTTGTTGTAGTTGTAGCCCCCTTGCCAGCGATGCTCTCTCTAGTTTAGCATACTCAGCCCGACTCAGCCTCGTTGTCTCTGGCCCTAGACCCGCGATTTTATGAGGCCAGAAAAACTGTGAATTAGGACCCGCCGGCCGGTACTAGGCCAAGTGGAAACGCAACCAAAGACGGGCCGCTGACGTCACAGCCCTCTTAAACCGGGCTGCGGGCTGTAGTGGAAACGCGCCATATGTGTATTCACTCTCTGTCCTAAACGGCTTGTTGGAGCCCCCCCCCCCCCATGAGCCCAGTGGCCGTCTGCGACACAGCGAAACCACCCCGAACACACACACACACCCGCAGCCTGGCTGGGAGTTTGTGTGTGTGCACACACACTGACTCACAGCCTCGGATTGGTCAATTTTGACCAATCCACGGAGGGGTCGTCGTTACGTCACTTGGTTCCCGGAAGAAACAAATTGAAAAAGAAAATGTCCAACGAGGCGTTCTGGGGCAGCATAGACAGGTCTTTTCTGTGTTAGTTTTACTCGCTACAGGGTGTACTTTGAGGATTTGTGACTTTGTAGACCGTTTACATGCATACAAAGCTACATAACACACAAGGGGACGGGTAATAATCGGAAAAGCATGACATGGGA